ATCAGCAGAATCTTCTTTTTTCTTTCTCTCCTTCTGCTAGATTTGGATTTAGATTTGGAAGCAGGCTGGGTCGTGCTCTTTTGGATGGAATTGTCGCATATACTTTGAAGGCTGGAATTTTCACCCTTTTTGAAATATAAAAGAAGATTCTGCTGATCGCATTGTTTCTTTTTGGATTTGATCTCGTCCTTTTGGGATTTGATCTCGTCCTTTTGGGATTTGATCTCGTCCTTTTGGGATTTGATCTCGTCCTTTTGCGGGGCTTTCTTTCTCCCTTGTTCTAGTTCAATAACAAAATATTCTGGAATTGTAGTTTGCGTGTGCCCCGTGGCGTGTTCGATCGAATGTGTATTGTTTTGTGCAAGTTTTGAAGGCCTGTCATAAGAAATAACAACGTCGGACCATTCCGCCAAGTTGCTGCATGCAATCAGATCAATATCGGCTGGTGTCTCCACCTTTGTTCCATGGTTCTTGCCTCGCAGCAAATGATATATCCAGTTTAATACCATAGGGTGTATACTCGGTTGAGCTATAAATACCCTGTTCCTGCGCTGTTAAATGGTGTGTTTCATTTGAACTGGGGCTAATTGGTCCCCTATGGCTGGCATTCATTGGACCAGAAATTAAACTTTGATTCGATCCGTGGCGACAGCAATTTAAAAACCGCGTTTTTGGCTACTTTCAAGAAATTATTTATCACAATTTGTTTCAATTTACCATTTCAACGTCATCCAAGTTGCCATATGTATGATGGCAAAATTTGAAATCTCATCTTATGGCAACCAAAACGCTCTTTATTCTATTTTATGTGATTACCGTTGTGGGTTCGTCTTCTTCTTGTTCTTCAAGCGTTTCGAGCAATGGAGTCTCGAGAGAAACCCTCATCGATATGATACGAAAATTGGTTACATATAATGAACGCGACCCAAGATTAGATTACCTTATTCCAGATGTCATCTTCACTATCAAGGCCAAACGATCTCCCAGAGAAGAAATCGAAGGTCCCAATCCAGAACTGTTTCTTGGTTCTGGCAAATATGGTGGTGTTTATCTGGCCCAATCTAAGAGAGATTCCAATCAGGTAAGTGCAATATGAATGTGCTTATCTCTAGTATGCCGTTAAGCTTGTCCCGCTGGTTTCCTCATATCGGGCTAAATGTGCAATCAACGAGCTGATAATTGCCTCTAGCGAAGGTGTAAAAAGGGGACCCTTTCTGACCCCAATTAAAGAATCCTATTTTTACAAGGAAAAGATATTTGTATGCGGTTTTTTGCCTTACCTTCCTAGTTGATTATGCCCTTGGTTGTGGGAGAGCCCCTGAATCGAGCATCGTGGTCGGAGCATATTAAGGCACCTAGTGATATCTTTAGACTTTGTTTCCAAATTCTTTCTCTTGTGGCCTCCATTAAGGATCTAAAGATATGCCATGCTGACATTTCTACTTCAAACTTTATGCTGTCAAAGGTAGGATGGGTCTTCAACCAGTTCGTTTAGGATGGAAGCGTACACTTGATCGACTTTGGCCTGGCCCAGCAAATTATTTCCGAATTTTCTAGTGATACCGAAGATTCTGATTTTATGTTCACAGACTCATGTTCGGATGAGAGACGGGCAGCAGAGCTATGTCTCTCGATAGTTAAGAAAGCTCCATCTATATCCAAGAAAATGCTTGCTCCAACCCACCCGCCGCTATCTGCTCTTCGTTTTGTTTGCGAAAGTATCCGAGCAAAAAAGATCACCATACACCAAGCGTTGAAGGATCCGGTCTTTAATACGATCAAAGAGGCTCCCCAATTAAGATCAAATCTGCCAAAAGTCTTTTAATTTTCCTTACTCCTTACAAGTAGCTGAGATTGGTAATTATTCACGATAGCACAATAAAACTTAATTCGAGAAAAGTACATTGCATGGGTAACCGATTTATTACTTTGAAACTGCTCAAGGCCTTGCGGTCTCGGGCGCAGTGGCGGCAGCAGTAGCCGTATCTAAATCTATCGTTTTAAAGACAAGCCGGCTCTCATAAAATTTGATGACCTTTTGGGGGCAGTTGATATTCACAATATTGTTTTTGTGGACCGTTGCGGTACCGTCTTTCCTATACCGTTACAAACAAAACGTCCAAACCATCGTAGATGGATAAAAAGATCATCTCCCCGTTTTTCCATGGTAATAACTTCATCTACATCATCTTCCCAAATTCCAAGAGCCACCATATCGGATTTTGACCTTCGGGGCTTTCGGGTATTTCCGACAATTGAGGTGCCGTGATCGGAGACTGTTGGGCTTAAAGACTGATAGCCAGAGTCTCCACTAACGTCCGTAGAGGGCGATGATTCTGGAGTATCTTCAGGGTGTTCCAAATTATACTGGATAATCAAGTCATCGCAAAAAACATTGTCTTCAGATTCCCAAGTGTTGTCTTTGTCGTCGTAATTTTCCCATTTGATTAAATATTCGATTTTGCCCTATGGAAATCAATATGCGAACCGTACATTCTTTGTGCGTCGACCGGCGATCCTTTCGACCGTATATACATCATTAGCTTCCGTCAAGGCCGAGGAGCGCTTCTTTGCCATTAAATTTAAAAATCATTTAATCAACTTGGCATTCGCGAGCATGCAAATTATAAAATTTAGCTCCAACCTCGGCCCAAACCCTGGCCTTCCCGAATGAGCCGCAACAACAGGCAACTATTAGCTGCCATTGATAGCTTACAAAGCGGGAAAAGATCAGAAATGCGAATTGAAATGAATTTTATTGGTTATATTTTTTCTGTATAACAACCATCCTTGAATAAAAGGGCATAAGGTGGCTTGCTTTCATCTTCATAGCCCATAATAATGATCATGCCATCTGGATCCATGGATTCGGTATTAAAGAATTTAAAGTCGTCAATGTTTTCTATGATGTTTCGAACATGAACTTTAGCAAGATCTTCAAATTCAGAAACTCGAGTTGCATTTTTTTCGGATAGATATGCTTTTATAGCTTTCAAATATCCTCGAATATAGTGCTGGTAGCTCTTTTTATCAAAGCTAGTTTCCTGAAGACGGAAACTGTCAATGAAATCATTGACGATATCACCAGAAGTTGAATCGCACACGCCTTCATCAGCATCTGCTCCTTCAGCAGAGGGGTTGGCTCCAATATCGATTTTTAAACCAGCTTTGTTGATATAGTTGGTTTGAATCCGATAGAAAAACCCTTCGTCTTTCAAGCAAAAAGAATCGCTGGCCAATTCATCCTCTAGGTATAAGAGGATTATAAAAAACAAAGAGGGAGAGGATGGATGAAATATGAAACTCACTTGTTATGACATCTTTATAGAGAAGCATTGGACTAAAAAAAGTTTACCAATCAACTTTGGACAAATTTAATTTTACAACGCTAAAAGATTCAAAGTTGCAGCGCTAAAAGATTCAAAGTTGCAGCCTTAAAAGACTCAAAATTGCAGCCCTAAAAGACTCAAAGTTGCATGGATGGCAAAATGAAATTTGGGGTTTGAAGCAACAATGACTTTTAAAAATAGATGAACCCAACTGATCTCTCATGCCAGGAAGTGGCAGCTTCAAGCAAGCCTGTGGCAAAGCTCATTGACCACCTGAACAATGGGTTTCAAATAAAAAGAAAAGAGCTTCTCAATACTGGCTTAGAACTTTCATCGACGGTGAAAGATTTTGAACTGGAAAGCTCATTTGCTAGTGGAAGGCATCCCGCTTCCGCTTCTTCCGCTTCTTCCGCTTCATGGAGTTCTGAATTCCTTGCCGATGAATGCTCTTTTTCAAAAAAACAAGAAAAACATTTTGATTCAATAACAAATGCTCACTTTCGTACATGGATCAATGAATTTTCGTTTGAAAAAGAAAAGAATCCTGAAGCCCTTTGGGCAGCAGAGTTTGACCAAGCTGAATCTGCAATGGAAAATCGGCTACCCATTAATGAACAACAGCAGTTAAATGAGCTTTTTGACCAATTCGAATCACTTTGGAATGGCTCCAACTCCAAAAGCTCTCAATCAGAATCATGGAGGGACGAGTTTTCAAACAACGATAGTGTAACTGATCAGACTGCTTCTGACTTTCAAATGTTCGAGTCACTGTGGAACAGTAAGGTCTCAAATTTGATCTCATCTTCGTCAAAGTATGCTTTTGAAGAAAATAATCCCTTCATGCAGGAAAGTGACCCCCTCTCAATTGGGCTGGAAATCTTTTCCAATCCCGCCGGATCGCTAACTGAGGCTGCACTTGCCTTTGAAGCTGCAATTCAAAGCTATTTGCCGTCCTCCGATGACATAAAGCTACTCTCTAAGGCGTGGTTTCTTCTCGGAAATTGTCAAGCAGAGAATGAAAAAGAAGGTGCTGCCCTTATCGCTTATGAGGAATCCCTTTCAATTGACCCAAAAAATGCAGACGCTCTTTTAGCCTTGGCGGTGTCGCTGACAAATGAAGCTTATGATGAGAGGGTTATTCAGGTGCTTACAAAATGGCTTGCCATTGCAGTTGATGGGTTTATTGTCCCTACGACCGCATCAAGAGACGCGCTTATTTCGGCACTGCTTGAAGTTATTAATCGACGAGGGTGGGATCAAAAGTTCTCTTCCAATCTCCAAATGGCTCTCGGACTTTTATTTTACAGCATGGGCGAGTTTGATCGATCCATCGATTGTTTTCAAACATCTGTTAATATGTTTCCCAGCGATTATTTGCTGTGGAATCGGTTGGGCGCGACTCTTGCAAATAACCATCAAAGCGAAAAGGCAATTGCCATGTATGAGAAGGCTTTATCTTTAAAGCCCTCCTTCATCAGGGCGCTGCATAACTTGGGTGTTTCTTGCATGAACGTTGGCTGCTACCAAGAAGCGGCGGAATATTTAATTCGCGCCCTAAAAGCGCAATATTTGCATCCAGGCATGCCACCTCCTGCAAAAAACATATCCACCAATTTATGGGAAACTCTTAGAAGGACCTTTATTTTTGGCGATCGCATAGACATGGCTGCACTCTGCGAATCCAGGTCTCTCGACCAGATCTTGGCTGAAATTGAAGAGACCCCCCATTGGTTTTCTCATGCCTCCGTAAATTTAGAGCCTTGATGGCAAGGCAAATAGAACTGCCGTCGAAGTGTGTGTTTCTTATAATTGAAATTTTAAATTTGGCCACAAATTGTTTAAATTTGAAATGGTTAGCGTCATCTCACAACAGCGGATGGTTCCTGTTGTTCCGCCATTCAAGCAGGTGCTTTGTTCTTCGCCCACGAAAAAAAACACCAAGGAATATTGGGCCAAAATCGCATGTATAGAAACCACTCTTGACGCAGACTCATCCGTTCAAACCGAAATAGAACTAATGCTCCACGAGGGAATCCCCTTTTTAGTTGGAAGGCAATCTCCAGAATGCCCTTTTAACAGCGCACTTTTGAGCCGAAGACATGCAGAGCTTTTGATCCTAGATGATACAGTAGTTTTAGCATCCAATAGTGTGTAGATATATATACGCGATATAGGCTCTTCAAATGGAACCTTTTTAAACGGTTGCAGATTATCTGCACAAGGCCACAGCAGTCCGTTTGCCTCGATATATTCGCAAAGTTTTCCTTCATCCCTAGTTCAATTTGGCGAGATTGCGTCAAAAGAAGGTTCGTCCTATGGGGTCTTTATGATAGGTGCTCTTCTCTCTTTCTTTGTTCTCCGAGTCCGCCGTGATCGGGAGGATTTCACATTATCAGTGTGCTCAGAAAACACTTTAGAGCTGACAAATACCAATGGGCACATCAACGGACACATCAATGGACACATCAATGGACACATCAATGGAAATACCAATGGGCACATCAATGGAAATACCAATGGGCACATCCTCCCTTCCAATCCGTCTTTAGCAGTAAACAGTCTAGAAGATGGTCGACTCCCCTCAAACATTAGCATCCAAAAGTTCACATCAAGCCGTCATAGGCACCTTTTGTTCGCCGGTGAGAAGGATAAATGCGATTGGCCTGCTGAGAGTCTGAAAAATACCAGCAGCCAACGTGTTATTGTGGGAATCGACAACAGGAACTTTATAAGATGGACATGCAGGTCCATTACTTTATGTTCCTTACTGGCGGCATTAATGGTTCTCGTTGTAAATAAAATTTTATTATTCCTTTAAATGGCTCAAAAGAAATGAGACCGATGATTTACATTGAGGATCCGTGCACGTGTGGCCGTGTCCAGAATTTGCGTCGCGCTCAAAGCTACAAAGCGCTTGAAATAAATCGATTTCAGATTTGCTTGGAATAGTGGAGACCTTACGAACGAGATGTAGCGTTATCTCCTTACTTGTAGAAAGACACGCCAGTGGCATAGCGGTATTCAAAAGTGGCTTTCCTTTATGCAACCAGCGTTGCTCGCCAGTCGGGATGGGGGTTTGGCCAAGACGATCCATTTCACTCTCATATGCATCGATAACGTCTTCAAGAGTGGAGGAGGAACACATAAGAAGCTGCAGCGGAATATCTAAATGCAACTGCTTCACGGTGACTGCATATTTGTCTTCAAAGATTAACGGGGAGTCGCCAGTGAACGATACAGGGGTATCTAGGAAATGGGTGCAGGAGCAATGTTTGCAAAGGAAATCCTTGATAAAATTTCTCACAAATTGCGACTCACATAGCCGATCTGTCGAGGAGCAAGTAGTGGCATCATCGCTACAAGGCGAGGTGGAGGAGCCCAGAACTTCCGGGGGCGACATTTTAAATTAATTTACAAATCAGCCATTTAAAATCAGCGCTCTGCAAGGTTGATGGTGCGCGGTGGGCACGATATGGTATTCTGGTTTCAGCATCAACTGTGCCAAGAGTTTCTTAATGTTTATTCTTTATTCGCCTGAACACTGGAGGGTGCATCGATTGACGCCTTTGATCGCGCTGTTGAAGGAGCAACGCCTTCTTTGGCGTAATTGTGAGCTTTATATTCAATAAGAGTATCCGGAGCAAGGCCAAAAAGGCTACGAAGTCGATCTCTACATTGAAGTTAACATGGAAAACATACCTTAGTTTTTGTATTTGGGGCAGATCATCAGACTTTGGCATCCAAATGGCGATAAAGTTTTCATATGGACGAATGGAAAAAACAACGCCACAAATATGTTCTTGGAGATCCGAAAATTCATCTCCAATCAGGGCAAGGAGCAGTAATTCCCAAATTCTGGTTGACACAGAGCTGTTCTTCCTCAGACGTATGACAAGCTTTCCACCATGCTGATTTGCCGGATCCTCCCAAACGGGACGGATATTTTCTTTGAAGAACGAATAATCAGTTGTTCCGACGGAAAGCTCATCCGGTCTTTTCAATGTCAAATAAATAGACCAAAATTCTTGTAAAGTTTGCATGGTCCCGATATACTTCAAAAGCGATTCAAAGTTTAATTGGGTCGACTTGAGACCTTGAGGCGGGCGAAGGTACCAAAATACCCACGCATAAGGTAGCTTTGTTTTCAATTGAAGAGCATCGGTGCCCTTTTCCTTTTGTAAGGAGTTTAAGATGGAGGAAAGATTTGGGGTCTCCTCGGAAAGAGTTTCGGTTGATGAACAAAGGGAAGGTACCTCGGATGTTTCGCCGCTTCCAAGCTCTTGAAGAAATGAGTATGGATTGCTCACTGCATTAGGCCCACAAAATAGAGACTCGCCAGACGATCCCATCGATCCAGAAGAAGACGTAACCGCCGAGGACGTGTAAACCATCGTCTGGAAAATGCAAAAAAATTATTTTAAAATTTGGCTTTAAATTTTAATTGCCAAGCATCGTCGTTCCTAATGATGAGCAACTGCACCTCCATTGGTGGCAGCGGCGGCCTGTCTTGCCTTCCATTCCATGTAGATTTGAGGAGAGTCGGTCCAGCATCCGTCTTTAACTAGCTGATAAAACTCCTCCTTAAACTCGGGCTCTAAAAAATATATATCATCAACCTGTGATAAAATAAAATAAACCAATACACAAAATTCATCCACCGGCTTCTTGGTGAGCGTGTTGTAACGTTCAAGTTTATCAGAAGTGAACTCCATCTCTGCAGACACTTTTTTCTCTATTTCGGTTGCTTCATCAATCTAAATGTAGGTAAACAAGCGGTACCAGAGCACTTCGCTCTGCCTCGATAAGAGCATACTCCTTGTCGATGGAAATGTCAATTTTGGGCGAAAAGGAAGAAATACTCGCTCGGAGATCTTCAATAAATGCGGCAGGATTTTCTTTCTTGATGAAGGGTGTCGAAATAGCAGCATTGGAATATGCATTCCAATCCAATCGAGAAAGCTTCCCTTTTGTCTCCTTCAACTCCAAAATAAGGCGACGAAGCTCCTCGTTTTTTTGGATGGTGGAAGTAAATATTTTCTTGTGACTGGGGATGACATGCGCAAATGCAAACGCCCAATTGAAAACCCTGTTGTTCATGAGCAGACCAAAGGTAAACGCAAGCGCAAACGCAATTTATTTTAAAATGTTCGAAATTGCGTCCGCAGCATGCATGCGTCACTTGGCCCGGTGTGGTCGTCACCACGGAAGGCTTGTGTCCTGGCGCTGCCTTGGCTCCTCTTCTGGTGCCCAAAATGGCGAATATAGGCCTATCGTTGGGCCCGGCCCCTCTGCAGACCGGCCATACACCGATTTTGACATGTCCGTTGGGCTGGAGCGACTGGAGTATCTTGCAAAAACGCATGGCATCAACATCTTTGACAACGAGTGGCTTCCTGGCAACCGGTTTGGCACACATGGGGATCCCATTCTGGTGGAGGCCACTGGCGATGAAAGGATTATCGGCTGTACAGGTACGTAGCTCGCAATCCCTCCGCATGTGCATAGGGGCGCCACGGACTAGCCACGAGACAATATGGTTCAACGTGGCAAAGGGCGAAATCGGGCGCTGTGTCGACTGCGGCCAGGCTTTCAAGGTAGTTGACGCCATTGCAATCGACATTGCGAATTACCTGCCGAAAGCACAGCTTCCCTCTTCAGACGGAGAGCTAAGGGCATTGTTGGATTCGCTGGGCATCGAGAGCAGCCATGTGGGGAAAGCCGCGTCAGACCAATAAAGCGTAGACATGGCATGGTAACCCCAACCCCAACCCGAAGTGTGAACTTGCTGCAATTTTTCCTATCAGCGGCACTTGTCAAAGTTTATTGAAAATTTATTTAGGGTTAATTTACTGCCTGCCCTTATGATCCACCTACGAGATTACCTACAGAGAAGAGGTAACTTTATCGGATTCTTCTGAATTTCCGTCTTGTTGATTTAAACTGTCTTTTTTTTCATTTAAACTGTCTTGTTCATTTAAACTGTCTTGTTCATTTAAACTGTCTTGTTCATTTTGCTTTGAGTTTAGACGGCTATATGTGTCAGATGGAAACATGTTTTCTAAAACTGAATTGTGTCCTTTATCTGAATCTTCGCTTTGTTCATCTTCATGTTGCAATTGATTTCGTTTAGATTGATATCTTTTTTTAAACAGAGGCATTAAAGGGACAAGAAATATGGCGACAAAGTATTGGGCCATTAAAACGGCCATAATTATCATCAAAAGTGTTTTTTTTTCGACTACTGTTTCGATAGTCTCGTATGAAAACCAGTATATATTTAATATATTCATAATAATACCACCGTAGATTATAGAGTACTTTGATAGTTTTCCAAGTTCATCTTGGCCATATCTAAGTAGGTTAAAAAGCTCGATCGAAATTGGTTGGCCAAGGATGATTTGAAAAAGAAAAAAAGAAGATATAAATAGAATATGTAGAATGAATTCAGTGCCTGCATTTTTATCATTATCACTGACGGTTACTTTTGTAGAATTATGAAAAAAAATATTTTTGAGATTGAAAAAGATCATAGGAATTTCATACACAAGAAAAAGCACGCCAATGTAAGGCGCAATAGGATATGAAAAGATTCCAAAAAGAACGAGTCCGAAAATGCTATAGGCGAAATACCATACCGTTATATTTTCCTTATGTATAAGCATTACGATACACATGATGGTTTGCCAAATGAAATAGCCGAAATTGATCTTATTGATGTCTTCTAAAATTGGCAAAGTGCTAAACCAATCCCTAAAAAGTTAAAAGAAATAATCTCTAACCCCCTAATGTTATTAATACCTAGCCGCTTTTCTAAAGAGTTCGGTCGAAGCACTTGAGTGGAGAAAATTACGAGGACAGATACAATACTTGAAATACACGCATGTATCAAGGCAACGAAATATGCCGATTGCTTAAGGAAATCAAATTTAAAGATGTATTTAAACCCGATCTGTACAACAAAACATAGCACAAAAGAAATGGTAGTGAAACTTTTTGGAGAGAAGGCTTTAACACAGGTCACCAAAGCAGGAGGAAATAGACGCAAAACAGAGCCTAAAAAATTAACAAAACAGGTGGATAGATCCATGATTGAAAAAGCAAAATTGAGT